GACAAAATGGTATTGTTGTCATATGTAAAGGGAAAAGCTAATATTATTGTTTAGACATCTGATCGATCTTTTTTTTTATTTTTAGATGTCTGATTAGTGAAGTGGTAAAAGTTCCATGGCAAAGATTCCAATGAGTTTTCTTTGCAACGTTAAGTGAAAAATTAAGTGGGTGAAAAGTTCTTAAAGTAGGCACGAGTTGAAATATAAAGGGAATCTATGTCTGATTAAAAATAAAAGTGAGGTGCCCTGGCCAGTGTGGCTTAGTTGGTTGCATAACCCTATGCACTGAGAGGTTGCTGGTTCGATTCTCAGTCAGGGCACTTGTTTGGGTCTCAGGCTTGATCCCTGGTGTGCGGCATGCGAGAGGCAGCTGATGGATGTTCTGCTCTCGCATCGATGTTTTGTGTTTTTCTCTTTCTGCCCCCTTTCTCTCTAAAAATCAATAAAAATATTTTTAAAAATAAAAATAAGGGTTTCCCACGTTCTCCAATCATATTTGAGTTCATTGAAAGAGCTCTTTCATTCATGTCCTCCTACATTAAAGTAATAACTGTCTGGATTACATTTTATTTCCTCTCAGTGTCATTCTTTTTTAATGAACATAATTCAGGAAGTCGACAGTGGACCAATAAGAAAATTTGGGTGGAAATATGAGGGGGAAAGAATTACCATTAATACTATCAAACAGTCCAACTAAATTTTCTTTCTGTTTAGTATGTGTAGGTACTGTGCTTAGGGCTTATACATATTACAATTAGTCCTCATAACAACCCCAAAATGAGGCAATAATATATCACCATGGAGAGCAGGGGTTCTGGAGCTACTAATCAGTACAGGTTTCTTATCAGGGTGATGAAAATGTTCTAAAATTAATAGTGTAATAGTTATATAAACTTAGTGACTATATTAAAAACCACTGATGTTGCCCTAGCTGGTTTGGCTTAGTGGATAGAGTGTCAGCCTGCAGACTGAAGGGTGCCAGGTTCTATTCTAATCAAGGGCACATGCCCAGGTTGCGAGCTCGATCCCCAGTAGGGGGTGTGCAGGTGGCAGCCGATTGATGATTCTTTCTCATCATTGATGTTTCTCTCTCTCCTTCTCCTTTCCTCTCAGAAATCAATAAAAATACATTAAAAAATTAAAAAAGTAAAAATCATTGATGTATACTTTAAAAGGGTGAATTTTAAAGTATATGAATTATATATTAATACATGCTTTCTATATATTTAAATGTATATTATAGAATCAGACTGACCAAGTTGAAATCTTGAGAGGAACGATCTTGAACAAGCCTCTTAACCTCTCTGTGCCTCAGTTTTCCAAATCTGCCGATGGGTACATTAATAGCACCTATTTTGTGGGGATGTTCTGAGGGTTAAATAAGATAGTGCATGTAAAGAATTTAGCCCAGTGTCTGGTCCTTTATAGATAAGAAAGCTGAGGATCAGAGAAATTTAGCAACTTGCTAAGCTCAAATGACCTTTAGCTAAATAGTACAGTTGGGCTTTGAACCAGGTCTGGCAAGCCTCAACCTTCATGCTCTTTCTGCCAAGCATGTTTCTTTTCCAAAACAGGGATAAGACCCTCCCTAATCCTAAGCAGTGGTTACTCCTCCAGCACATTAAACCTGGGATTGAATAGAAAACCTGGGATTGATAAGAAAAACTTTGCTTGCAATCTTTCTCCATGTCTGGGCAAGCATCTTTCTTTAAAGGTTACTCTTTCAGCACATTGTGCCGAATCATCACCATAAACATATGTTTAAACATGCGCTACTAAAGAGCTTTATAAATAAGGGATCTTTTCTAATTAAGGACCATTTTCCTTCCAGGCGCCAGACTCTGGTTTAGTCCAAATATCCTGAAGAGCACACAGGTGCATTGGTGTGCAGAGTTAATAAAATTCACCCCATCACATTCCTACACAGAAGATCCTGCCATAGATAGAAGATGCTAAAAAAGTCTGGGGCTATCATTTCTGTCCTTTCTTACTCCCTTCTCAATACCACCTTGTCTTCTAGAGCTTTAGAAAGTCTTCCGCCAGCTGGTCTATTTTTTACATATTCATTTTCTTTGTATAATCCTAAATTGACCTTTACAACCTCATACAGACCTGTGCGCACCCACTCTACCAGTTTCTGAAGCACACAGGGAGCTAAGACTTGATGAAAAGGGCTTCAAGGTAACAGATATTCTCCCTCCCCTGCTCCAAAAGTATGCCTTAAGGGTAAGAGCAAGGCTGGGGGCAAAACACACGACAATGGGTTTTGCTACTTGATCTTTCTTTACATTTTACTAGTACTTCCAAATGAGCAAAGATTTTGCTACATATATTCAACCACTGTCAAGAGGTAAATAGCTATGTGAGAAACCAAGATGGCGGCATAGGTAAACACCTGAAATTGCTGGCTTGCACAACCACTTCAAAACTACAATTAGCCCTAACTGGTTTGGCTAAAATAAAAAATCTGATGAACAGAATAAACTGGTGAATACAATAGAATCAGGGGCATAGAAAGGGAGTGGACTGACAATTCTTGGGGGGCAGGGAAGGGATAGAAGGGCTGCAGGAAGAGACTGGACAAAATTCGTACACCTATGGATGAGGAGAGTGGTGGGCAGAGGGTGGGGTGGGAACCGGGTGGAGGGGAGCTATAGGGCTGGGGGAAACAATTGTAATAATCTGAACAATAATGATTTATTTTTTGAAAATTAAAATAAAAACACAGAGAAAAAAGAGGTAAATAGTTTTCTGTTCTAAATAAACTCTTTTCAATAGAGAAAGGCTGTGCAGAAATGGCCCAGTGCGGAAGATGACTGCAATGCCACTATTATTAGCATCTGGTAAGATGTGTCCTTTGTCTTTTTAGCTCCAGATAGTCTCTTATGTTAAGTTCCAAAATTATTTTTTCTTCTCAACATATTATTACACCACATCTCTGACACTAATTCTTTATTTCTCCTTTAGGTAATTAATTCTACCCTCGCAGTTCCATTCATTCCTGCCAGTTCACATTCATGCTCTGGCCCCTGTGGATTTTGGTTAACATCTGTTAAACCCAAACTGTAGGGCCATTCCCTGAATAGCATATTCACATATTACAAGCAAACTGCTACAGGATTACATATAATGTTCTATTCTCAACCTATGTTTTTGCCATTAATGTTTTAGGACAGTGAGATATATAGGTACCACACACCATATAACCATACATCATGTATGACTTTGTTACAAGAATCAAGAAGCTTTAAAAATATAAGCCTAACCAATGGACACAGACAACAGGGGGGGTGAGAACAGGAGTGGGGTGATGGGAGGGTAATGGGGGAATAAGGACACATATGTAACACCTTAATCAATAAAAGAATTTTAAAAAAGAAAAAAATGAAGTTAAGAATTTCAAGATAAGAAATATACAATATAATATTTTCATTTGTTAAAGTTTGCTTTTAAAAAAAACTTGAAATATATGAAAACAAAGTATGAGCTAGGAAAAGTAAAAATTTAATAAAACTATTGTAGTATCATCATGCACAAGTTAAATTTCTTAAAGGCCTATCTGTTCACTGAGATGAGATACAGTGACAGTAAAAGAATAAGAAGTATGGGGTTCTCAAACCTCAGAGGAAAGGTAGGGGAGGGTGGGGGGAAAGGGGGAGAGATCAACCAAAGGACTTGTATGCATGCACATAAGCCTAACCAGTGGTCACGGACAACAGGGGAGTGGAGGTACACATGGGGAGGGGTTTGGGATAGGAATGGGGGGATGAGGACTATTATGTGATACCATAATCAATAAAAAATAAAATAAAATAAATAAATTGAATAAGTATGGGGAAAGTTTACAATTGGTCAAAAAGTTATAGCGCAAAATAGTTCATAAAGTAGTTGCAAATTTGACCTATTATTTTCTGAGAAAATAAAAGTCTGTACTTCTAATAAGATAAGGTAATTAACATTCACAGGGATGTTTCTGACATTCTCAACCAGAATACCGAAAAGAAGGGAAGCACATACTCTCCCCTCAAACTGTTGGAATTCAAAAAATATATATATTCTAATTTTGAACCTTTTAAAAATGTGTTCCAATCCTGTTTTTTTTGTTTTGTTTTGTTTTTTTCCTGTTTTTAATCTTGCACACAGCTGTCTGTTGTACTTTTTAGAATCATGCCAGCTGCTGGGTTCATCAAGCAAAGGCAGGAAAACAATGGTTTGAAAGTAATTAGAAGCTCCGAGGCTGCAGCGAGGCCCATATTAAAATGTGATAACACCGTTCTAGTGGGAATTTCAGCACAGCTCCATTTCTGACTTTTCTCTCCTGCCAGACAGGCCGGCTGCGGGGAAGAGCACTGTGATCGAGGAGGCAACACACTGGAATTTATTTCTGGAGCCAATGAAGGATCGGCCGAGCTGGAGCCCTCTCAAAGCTTTTATGATGGACGTGGCTACCATTTCATTTGAATGCCAGTGGATCTTGTTGGTCTCTAACAAAGCTCAAGAAATAAGAGCATGTTATAGTGTTAGCTCTATAAAATAATCTGGCACCGATCCACTCAGAAAGATGACGCGCCCAAGGCTCTTGTGGCTGAAAAGCAGGGCAGGGGGCCCAGCAGGATGAAGGTCCATTAAACACTCCGCTAACTTCCCCAGAAATGGCCGAAACCGGTTTGGCTCAGTGGGTAGAGCGTCGGCCTGCGGACTGAAAGGTCCCAGGTTTGATTCCGGTCAAGGGCGAGCACATCCCCAGTAGGGAGAGTGCAAAAGGCAGCTGATTGATTATTCTCTCTCATCGATGTTTCTAGCTTTCTATCCCTCTCCCTTCTTCTCTGTAAAAACAATCAATAAGATATATTTTAAAAAAATAAAAAATAAATTAAAAAAAATAACTTTCTCAGAAATGGCTATTGCCATCTGTGGAGAAGCTTTTTCATAAGAGACAGAAGTAAACAATACCGTCTCCACATTCTTAGGGTGAAACCATAACTGGTCAGAGTACTCACCTTGGGGCTGAAAATCCCAATAGTATCTGAAAAACATAAGAAAAAGAATGCAGGTGAGTCAAACCTGTATTTCTCAATCTGGGTGGCATATGGTAGCTATAGCATCCAGTCCCAAAAGCTTGCTAAGTAGTCAGTAACTAGCCAAAGCCACTACCCACTTTGACAAGAACCAAAGGGACTTGAAAGATTCTCAAAGGCTTGAAAGCGGCATTTACCTCACTATAACTCCTTAGATAAATTTGCCCACATTGCTGGAAATGTCCCAAGACAGTGATCGGCAAACTCATTCGTCAACAGAGCCAAATATCAACGGTACAACGATGGAAATTTCTTTTGAGAGCCAAATTTTTTTAATTTAAACTTCTTCTAACGCCACTTCTTCAAAATAGACTCTTTCAGGCCATGGTATTTTGTGGAAGAGCCACACTCAATGGGCCAAAGAGCCACATGTGGCTTGCAAGCCACAGTTTGCCGACCACTGTCCTAAGAGGTTTGCTAGCCATGAACCAGGGTTTCTCATAGGAGCTTACAGACTGGGAGCAGGACAATTCTTTGTTTGTGACCACCCGTCTCGAGTATTATAGGACAACCAGCATCGCTGGTCCTGGTCATCGAATGCCAGTGGCACCTCCAATACACCCTCCCCCCCAACACATTCTCAAATACTTCTGGGCCTAAATGATTCTTAAATCTTACAGGTCAAGCATGAGCAACTGACAAGGTCATCACACATTTTAGTATCTGAGTCAAGTTTGGGGCTCTTGAAGGCTCCTGCCATCTCCTTTTTTATTTGGGGAAATGATTGGCAAAACTAACAACCCTTAAAGCCTTAAAACCAATGAGACCGCAGTGGTAGGATCATTGTAAAGCCACTTATTTGGAATCTAAATTGCATCCCCTCCCTCCAAAAAGATGTTCTACATGGTGGCTACCCACAAAAGTCTATTGTGTTTTGGTTCCCATTTCCTCCTGCCTTCGCAGGAAGCTCACACGATTTCTGTATCGATTTTCTCTTGTTTATAATCAACCTCTTCCTCTCCGTGTCCCTTTCCATCAGCATTTATGTTAATATAAAAATAAAGCGAACCTTACCTCACCTTCTTAATATCCCTCCTTCTTGACTATCCCCTTTTCCCTCACATCACCGTGACATTTTCAAAAGTTTGTCTATAGTTTGATCTCTTTATTTCCTCACCTCCCACTCATTTCTCAACAAAGTCCAATCTCGCTTACAATCACCACATGTTATTTCTTGCTGTGGACGTAGTGACCCTCCCATACCACTAAGTAGAGTGGATATTTCTTAACTTCATCTTGGCCTCCCAAGAGTTATATGTGCATATGAGTGAGTATCTAGGTTATTTATTAATAAGATAAAATTTCAGAAAATGGAGAGGAAGGAAATCAGGGGGCAGAGGTTGCCGTAATCCCGTAATGAATCCGTGGGAAATGATCAGATGACAAAGAGAAGATGGAGAGGAAACCTCACGACTGGCTTTTCTTTTTCCTCTCCTTTCCCGGAACAGTTCTGGGCTGGCAATCAGGTGAGGGGAAAGGAAAGATGCTTGGGTTAGATGGCAGGAAGTTAAAGACAGCTTTGGCAGCTGCAGTGGAAAGGAAGAGGGAATGAGAAAAGAAAGGGGTGGACAATGTAAAGCTGCAGCATCCGGGAAGGCGCCGTGTGGATGTAGGGACATGCACACAGGAACTGGCATGATGGGCCAATCTCCACCAGCAGACAATGCAGCTCCACCGTACCTGCGGCCACTGGGAGAGTTTTCCATAAAACCCCTTTCTGTAAATACAGCTACCCAAGCTCATCAGAAAAGGCCTGAGCAGCCGAAACCGGTTTGGCTCAGTGGATAGAGCGTCAGCCTGCAGACTCAAGGGTCCCAGGTTCGATTCCGGTCAAAGGCATGTACCTTGGTTGCAGGCACATCCCCAGTAGGGGGTGTGCAGGAGGCAGCTGGTCAATGTTTCTCTCTCATCGATGTTTCTAGCTTTCTATCCCTCTTCCTTCCTCTCTGTAAAATATCAAATATATATATATATATATATATATATATATATATGTATGTATATATATATATATATATATATATATTTTTTTTTTTTTTTTAAAGGCCTGAGCAATTTGCCATCTTCCCCTACTATTTTCCATCTTCTTGCAGAGCACTGCCCAAGCCTTTGATTCCAATCATTAACCAACTTCTAATTCAATATAGAGAAATTAGGGTGTGAGCATATGCAAGTTCGTGTGTGCATGTGAGCGTGTGTGTGTGCGTGAGTGTGTGTGTGTGTGTGTGTGTGTGTGTGTGTATGTGGACACCAAAATGTTAATGGTACCGGTAACAGCAGGAACTTTGCTAACCAATGTTCTCATGTATTACCCACAAAAATCCTAGCCATGCAACAGCAATTAAAAGACCAACTCTTGGCAAATTGTTAAGTAAAATGTTTTTGATGATTTCAGTCTCTTCTTTTGTCCTCTCTCCTCCATAAGCCCCACTCCAACTCACACACACAGTTTCAGTCCCCTCCTCTCCCTACATAATGTGCCTCTGGCCTTCCGACTTCTTTTGTTGGTTAGGAAGATGTTTTAGGCTCACAGACACTAAGAGTGGTGCTTCTGCCAATAGCTGTGACTTAAGACAGCTGATTATATTTGAAAAAAGATTAGATGTAATAGATCAAATATAGTAGGTTTATCTTGATGTTAAAAAGCAGAATCTGCTTTATTCTTGATAATACTGTAATTAAATATTTCTGCCAATAAAAATCATACGTAGAACTAAAGTGAGATGACATGAAGTGGAATGTTAGTTCCCTTATTTTTCAGAAGTTACAAAATTATCCTGTTACCTTACCTCCTTTTTCCCCTCTCTCTTCTTACTCTAAGTATTAATTAGTAACGACCCTAAAGAAAGTCTATTAACACACACACACACACACACACACACACACACACACAGTTCACAGAGGATACTTCTCCCATCCAAGTACTAACCAGGCCTGAACCTGCTTAGCTTCCGAGATCAGACGAGATCGGGCGCGTTCAGGGTGGTATGGCCGTAGACCACAGAGGATACTTCTAAAAGGCAAGGCCAAAAGGTGAGCAACCTCATCCCTCAGTGGAGGAGCCACAGATTATTCTCTGCTGGACACACTTAAGGTCTTGATCTTGTCTTGTTAAACACAGCCTATGGATTGCCTTCATCACATTCTTTGGAAAGATGATTCCACACTAGAGAATTCTATACTCTTTAGGTGGCAGTTAGTCAAAACCTGCCAAAATCTTCTAATTTTTATCCTTCACTTTGAAAACAATTATCCCGTAGCCAGAGACCCCAAAAAGTCTGAAACTAAAATTTTTGAACCCAAATGCAAAGACCACATTAGAAATATATGAAAGCAAAGTACGTGCACATGCACACGCGCACACACACACACACACACATTTGTGTTTATCCTAAAAGCCTCTGAGAATTTCAAATCAGGCCTGTGCATATAGATAACAAATACTTCTTTAATCTTCTCTTTGAAGCTTTGGCTTCAACGTGAAGGGGAAGCTATCACTCCTCTGTAATAGTCATATTCAACATTATCAGGTCCATGCAAATAAGATTTGAAACTAGAAAAAGATGAGTACAGAATGAGCAGAGAGAAAATGCTGAAACCATAGTGGTGATTATTTTTCACAATCAAAATAAATACATATTTTGCTTCCAAAAATAAAAATTAAAGAATAAAAATCCACAACATTAAGTTTACTCTACAAAATAGTCTTGAACATTTAGGGTTAAATATTATGTGCAAGGCAAAGTTTGTAATACATGTTTTAAATTAAAGAGGTTTCAATTGAACATTATTGATTTATTTTTATTATTAAAGTATAGTTGACACATATTTTAATGAGTTCAGGTGTACAACATAATTATTTAATATTTAAATATGTGCCTTATGAAGTGATTACCACGATAAGTAGAGTAACCATCTGTCACCTTACAAAGTTATTATGATATTATTGACTATATTTCCTATGCTGTTTATTACATCCCTATGACTTATTCATTTTACAACAGAAGTTTGTATTTTTCCATCCCCTTTATCTTTTCACTCTTCTTTAATCCCCTTTAATTGAGCTTTAGTTTAAGGAAAGGTACAACAAATAAATTGAACCCACTGTATTGTTATAATTATGGTAATAATAACAATGTTAAGATATTTTGAACACATTGTTGGACACTGTTCTAAGCAGTTCTTATATTAACTTACTCCCTCCTCAACTCTAACCCTATTATTATGCTCATTTTCTAAATGAGGAAACTGAGGCATCAAGAGGTGAGATAACTTGCCCAGAATCACACAGCTAGCAAATAAGGCAAACAAGTTACCAATCCTAGCAACTAGTTCCAGAATAGGTATTCTAATAATAAATTAAGGAGGTAAAACAAACAACTGTAACTATCCTCATGTTGGAAATATCTAGGAAGAAAAATAATTCTATTTCCTAACTATAGTTTTAAAATTAACATATTCCGTATTTAATATAAACATTGAGATATATAGGTATATATTACATGTATTATTTTATTTAATTTTCATCACAACCCTATGAGGTCAGTACCATTATTATTCCCATTTTATAGATAAGAAAACTGAGACTCAGGAAGGTCAAGAAACTTGACCAAAAATCATGAAGCTATTAAGTGGCAGAACCAAGATTTGAACCCAGGTCTACTTTCTTCCAGAGCACAGCTCTTAAATTCCATATTAACTATTTTTCAATTGGCTGTAACATTTAAAAAAAAAAAAAAGTACTAAGAGAAAATATAATTGTTCTGTCGGACAACCTATTCTCAGAGGGTACATAGATCAGAGGTCTTTAACGTGAAGTCAGTCCATAGTTGAGCTTTGGGAAATAAACATTATGTTCTCTTACTCCCTAAAATTATAAGTGAAAAGTAATATGTGTTTTCTTTTCTCTTGAAAAATAGTCCAAAAACTTCATTAGATTTCTGAAATA